GGTTCAAACAGGGTTGAGCCCTTAATGAATAGTGAAGGTGAGCTCAAAATAGGCCCTTTTCAGTTAGGGCCGGAGCTTGAAACCAAAAATAAGTGGGGCTTAGAAATAGATCAAGAAAAAGGGTCAAAAGGGTAAAAGTTTAACTTACCCTTGAAGATCTAGACTTTTCATTTTGCTGCAACAGAGAGCAGGAAAGGGGCATAGCAATGTATTTGCACAGATATATGCATGTCTCGATCCTCGTGCCACCAATCACGCATACCGAGGCATGATGGCAGAGGAGTCGAAAAGCACAGCTCAATATAGGATGAATGCACATGAAACTACATCTAAAAACCTAACTCCATCATGGATAATCCGGAGTGTCGGTGACTGGGGAATTGAGATACATTCCGTCACTCGGAGTACGAAATGTACCTCGTTTCCCGTGCCCGGGCTAACTCCTATTCCGGACACAATGCAATATGCATGATATGCATGAAATGCAGCTAACATACAATCCTGACATGCGCAAAGTTATGGAATGAGGTGCCTCGAAATGCGTGCACGCGGGCACGCAAACCGAGGCAATGGCAAGATAGGATATAATGAAAAATGAGATGCTTCGAAATGCGTGCACGCGGGTACGCAAACCGAGGCAATGAAATGTGTCTTGAAATACGTGCACGTGGGCACGCAAACTGAGGCGATGATATGTGTCTCGAAATACGTGCACGCGGGCACGCAAACCGAGGCGATGATCTGTGTCTCGAAATACGTGCACGCGGGCACGCAAACCGAGGCGATGAAATGTGTCTCGAAATACGTGCACACGGGCACGCAAACCGAGGCGATGATCTGTGTCTCAAAATACGTGCACGCGGGCACACAAACCGAGGCGATGATCTGTGTCTCGAAATACGTGCACACGGGCACGCAAACCTAGACGATGATCTGTGTCTCGAAATACGTGCACACGGGCACGCAAACCGAGGCGATAATCTGCAATGAAATGACATGGAAATGACAAGTGGGCTTATACCAACATGAGTGAACCTCAGCCACACTCACATCGGATGCCAGCGGATAAAAACGGAGTGCCTCGAAATGCGTGCACACGGGCACGCAAACCGAGGCGATGACAAAATATGATGAAATGACATGGAAATGACAGCAATCATTCTAATGGAATTTCAGCAGTAAAAAGTGGGGGAAAACAGTCCCGAAATGAGGCGAAATGACATGAAATGCATGGAATTGTCCCGAAATGCAACATTAGGCTCCCGAAATGGCCTATAGCCATACTAAACATGTACAACATGGACATGCAATGCAAAGACAGAAGCTAGACAGCCCCAAAATAAGCACTTTTCCAGTTATAAACATGGCCAAACAGCAAATATAGGTATAGCAAAAATAGCATACAAGAATAGGGGCCAAGATAGGGGTAATGAAGCAAGTGGTATAAGCTAAACCCAAACTGAAAAATTTCCTTCTACAACAATGAAGATAGACCAAAAATATGAACATTTACAGTATATGGAAGCCTCAAAATCAGTATACAAATATGCTAAAAATGGGATGCAAAGCAAGGCCCAAAAGGTGCTATAACATGAAGTATATAAAATAATCACCAAACAGAAAAAAAGTGTGAATGAAACATGAAGTATAGGCCAAAATAAGACCACTTTTAGTTCGGACCAAGGTCCAAAAACAGAAGCAAAGAGGGTTGCCAATTTATGCAAAAATGGGGCCAAATAAGGGGTATAACTACAAGTGACACATGGAGACACCAAACAATGTATTTGCACAGATATATGCATGTCTCGACCCTCGTGCCACCAATCACGCATACCGAGGCATGATGGACGAGGAGTCGAAATGCACAACTCAATATAGGATGAATGCACACGAAACTACAGCTAAAACCTAACCTCATCATGGATAATCCGGAGTGTCGGTGACTGGGGAATTGAGACACATTCCATCACTCGGAGTACGAAATGTACCTCGTTGCCCGTGCCCGGGCTAACTCCTATTCCGAACACGATGCAATATGCATGACATGCATGAAATGCGACTAAGATACAATCCTAACATACAGAATGCTATGGAAATGAGATGCCTCGAAATGCGTGCACACGGGCACGCAAACCGAGGCAATGAAATGTGTCTCGAAATACGTGCACGCGGGCACGCAAACCAAGAAAATGATAAAATGTGATGAAATGACATGGAAATGACAAATGGGCTTATACCAACATGAGAGAGCCTCAGTCGCACTCACATAAGATGCCGATGGCAGAAAATGAAGTGCCTCGAAATGCGTGCACACTGTCTCATTTGAGAAAAGTACACTAAGGAGTTTTTAATTTTTTTTAGAGTATCACATCGTACTCGCCACGTTGTCTCATTTGAGAAAAGTACACTAAGGAGTTTTTAATTTTTTTTAGAGTATCACATCGTACTCGCCACGTTGTCTCATTTGAGAAAAGTACACTAAGGAGTTTTTAATTTTTTTTAGAGTATCACATCGTACTCGCCACGTTGTCTCATTTGAGAAAAGTACACTAAGGAGTTTTTAATTTTTTTTAGAGTATCACATCGTACTCGCCACGTTGTCTCATTTGAGAAAAGTACACTAAGGAGTTTTTAATTTTTTTTAGAGTATCACATCGTACTCGCCACGTTGTCTCATTTGAGAAAAGTACACTAAGGAGTTTTTAATTTTTTTTAGAGTATCACATCGTACTCGCCACGTTGTCTCATTTGAGAAAAGTACACTAAGGAGTTTTTATTTTATTTTTTTGAAGTGTCACATTATACTTGTCACGTTGTCACGTTCGAGAAAAGTACATTAAAGAGTTTTTATTTTTTTTGAAGTGTCACATCATACCTGCCACTGTCACATTTGGAAAAGTACACTAAGAAGGAATTATTTTTTTTGAGTAGAAGTTTTGGAATGTCACATCATACTCATCACGTTGTCACATTTAGAAAAAAATACACTAAAGAATTTTTTAATTTTTTTGGAGTGTGATATTAATACATGTCATATTAGAGTATCACATCATACCTGTCACATTAATAAAAAGGTATAACTGTCTACCAAAAACACTATCAAAATAAAAAATAGGACCACACGAAAACAAAGTCTCCACTAATAGGACTTAACAGATCAATAGAAAAAATTTGGGACTCATTGAAGTACTTGTTTGTGAGATAAGATTTATTGGTAAATATCTCAAAATAAAATTAAAAAACACGTAAATAGGCGTAAAAACAAGAGGTGTTACCAAAATGTATTCAAATTGTAATCTCCACAATAAATGGAATGAAATTAATTCACATTTTAATTTTTATGAAATGTTTATGTATTTTGTCAACATCAAATTAACATTATTGTACATTGTGAAATGTAGCCTACGGACATTGAGAGATGGTCTACGGGACCTCTCCCTTCCCTCAGGAAAAGA